TTTTTTTTTTTTTTAAAGAATGTAAATCTTAAAAAAAAAATCTACCATTATCTTGAGGGTCTATTTGAGAAGAGGCTACGGGTTTTAAACTGTGGGATGAAACTTGCACGCTGTCCTCCTTATTTCAATTTGGTCTCTGGTGCCCCCCAGGACAGAGACCCTTTATTTCACCCCTTCTAGAGATGAAATCTGCCTCCTCTGTGGACTGTGGGCAGGGCAGTCAATCACTAGGCTGCAGGGAGTGGCTCATAGCTCCTCAAACAGACCTTCAACCAATTCTTACGTTTTTATGTCCTCCTTCGCCCCCTCGTCCAGAGGCCCCAGGTGCTGCTAATTGCTGAGGTTTGGGCCAGAACAGGGAATTTTATGGTGAACTTGAGTTGGTTCTCAGCTGTGCCCACTGCCAGCTTAGACTTCTCCTTTCTTGAGACAGTCATCACTTCTCCTGTTTTCTGGCTTCCAAGGTTGTGTTGCTGTTCCCTCCTCTCCAGTTTATTTGAACTGGTTCGTGTGTTTTTGAACAATTCCTTTACTGTCATTTTAGTAAGATTTGGGGAGGGAGGAGCACTAAATGCATGTGTTAACTCCACCATCCTCCCATGGAAATTCTCTCCTACCTTCTTTTCCAAAGAAGTGATTGTGACGCTAGTGGACTTTATTGTGTGCTTCCTATATGCTCAAGGGCTTTACAAGAATATTCTCAATTGATCCTTAACACAAACCTACAAGGTAGACACAATCAGATTAGGCCCTTTACAATGAAGGCCTGAAATTTTTATGGTGCCTGCATATGTAATCCAGAATAAAAACAATTCTAAATTTTAAAACCTGGAAGGCCAACAAAGTTCTAATTTTTTCCCATTTGCCTTGATGGTTTTTAGGAAAGAGCAAATATTAGATCCTTTCAAAATGTTTCTTTATTTTTCCTCCCTTGGAGTGTGTGCATGTGGGCCTGTGTTTACATGACTTGTCAGATCCAACACTGGAGGCAGGTGCTATTACTAGCCCCATTTTATAGCTGGGTAAACTGAGGCTCAGAGAGGTGAAGAACTTGCTGAAGGTCACATAAGTGTCAGAGCCAGATCTGAGCTTGATTTATCTGACTCCAAAACCTAAGCTTTGCCCAGTTAGTGGGTGGTGCTGAGCTGGTACACAGAGCCCCCTACCGTCCCATGGCAGGCTGTTGGCTCCTGCAGGCCTGTCTTACATCTCAGGGTGTTGAAAGGTGGGCGTTCAAGGAGCTGGTGTTATTTAACTGCGATAAATTAACACGATGAATGTGGGTGAAGCACCACTAAAGCTTTCCTGACAAGAACCACCATGGATCCCTGCCGCCCATGGGTCCCAGGGGCGGGACAGGGTTGTGAAAAGCAGATAAGATTTCATTCTGATGTGTTGAGAGGAGCCATCAGGATTTGTCACCTGTGCAAGATAGCCACAGGAGTGCTTTGTCTTCACCCCATTAGCACCAAGTGGCCACTCCAGGGAAGTGTGTAGTGAGAGGAGAGGGGGTTAAAAAAGAAACAGCAGCCCCAGGCCTTTATCAGCTCAGGCTCTTGGCTGAACCCTCTCCAAGCTGAGGAGAAGTTTGGGAGGTGGGAGGATGCAAACTATGCTTCGCAAGTTCCCACACTCAGCGGGCTCCCTCTGTCCATGGTCAGCTGGCTCATGCTCACTCAAATCCCCAGAGGCTGCTCTGTAAACTGGGCAGAGAGAGGAAGGGCACCGCTCTGCCCTGGGCTCACCGCTCTGTCAATCCCACATGGCTCTGCCCTTGCTGGCACCTGCAGGACAGCGTCCCCATTTGACAGATGGGAGACATTGAGGCCCAGAGCACCCGGTGACTTGGCCCCAGAGCTGAGTGTCAACCCTGGAGACATCACCTTCGGCCGCCCTCAAAACAGTTTATCTTCTCTCCAAGGCAATCTGGTGAATAGTGTCGTGCTGTTACCCCCACTTAACAGATGAGGAAACTGAGACCCCCAAAGGCTTAGCCCTTCTAATTAGAGAGGGTTGCACTTGGCCTAATACTCTGTCCCCCTGGGACAGAGTTGCTGTCATCCGAAGCCACCTCACCGGCTCACTATTTTAGATGCTGGTGGTGATAGAATAGCAGTGGTGATGAGAATAGCAATCATTAAGCTCTTGCATGTGCCATTGTGTAATTTTAAGTCTTTTGTGTATCCGGTCTCATTTCATCGCTTCCATAACCATGAAAAGTATGCATTTTGAGCTCTGTTTTCCTTGCAAGGAAACTGATGCTTCGAGGGGCAAAGTGTCTTGTCCAGAAGGTGGATCCAGGAAGTAATTCCGAGTCGTTTTGCTCCAGAGACTGTGTTTCCACGACGCACCCCAGACAGGGGACCAGTTGCATCCTTTCTCTGCCTTTTGGAGATTTTGCAGCAGCTGTGGGCTCCGACCGACCTGCTGGGGGCGAGGGGTGGTGGCGGCTCCGGCCTGGCCCGTCTTTGCTGAGGCACTGGAGGAGGTGGCCGCGCTCAGAGTTATCACAAGCTCAGTTCTTTGGCAGGAAAGAGGAGGGGTAAAGGTTCATCAGAATGTGATGAGCCCGTATGGACTGCCCATAGTGTCTTACACAGATGGGAGAGAGCGCAGGAGAATTCATTTTTTAAAATAAGCAGTAGATATGGAGTTGAAGAGGCAGACGTGTTTTAGGGGACAATAAAGATTTAATTAAAAAAAAAACAAAAAAACAAATAAGCAGTAAATGTGGAGTTGAAGAGGCAGACGTGTTTTAGGGAGTGGGTTTGGGGAACACTGGCTGACAGTAGGTGACGATGTGTTCATGGAGTCTGTGGGTTCCAGCCTCCTCCTTGCCGGCCTGCAGGCCTGGCTCCCCAGGCCAATACTGTGTCCTCCCAGCCTTGGAGGGAACCTGACTCCCCGTTCCCTTTTTATTTAGCTCCGTTGATTGAGGACCCACTGTGGGGGTCCAGTTGGGGGGCAGGTGTTAATCAAATCACCACACAGATGCATGTGCTATGGAGGGGAGGTTCGGGGGCT